CAGGCCCCTGACTGCCACCTGTCATACCCACCTGTTACGCCCGCCGGTTGCGCCCGCCCGTCATGCCTGCCTGTTGCACTGGCATGTCACATAATCTGTCATCCCCGCCTGTCACGTCCGTCCGTCACGCCTGCCTGTCACACCAGCATTTCATGCCTGCCTGTCACACCCGCCAGTCACGGCCGCCTGTCACGCCCACCCGTCACTACTGCCCGTCACATCCCCGCCTGTCACGGCCGCCTGTCGCGCCCACCCGTCACCACTGCCCGTCACATCCCTGCCTGTCACGCCCGCCTGTCACGCCCACCCGTCACCACTGCCCGTCACATCCCGGCCTGTCACGCTCGCCTGTCACACCGGGACGTCACACCCCCGCCTGTCACGTCCCTCTGTCGCCGGCAGCCGGCGGCGGCGGCTCCCGAGGACGGGCTCTCGGACGAGGACGAGGCCGTGGCCAACGACCTGGACATCCACTCCCTGATCCTGGCGGGTGTACCGGCCGAACAAGAGGACCGCCTCAAGACGGCCGACGAGGTCATCAAGGAGATCGACGACATCATGGAGGTGCGTCACCCGCTGTCCGCCCGGCGGGCGTGCAAAGGGAAGGGGAGGGCTGAGACAGACCAGCACGGAAGGAGGCATGGTGTGCGGAATTGGAGGGGAGGTGTGTTGTGCAGACGGGGGGGACATTGCAGTGAAGGCGAGGGAAGCTGGCCCATCGGCGATGACACAGCGAGGGGGAGGGGGAGGGGGAAGTACGGTGAGTGCCGTCTCTCGGCGTGCTGGTGGGGCGGGACTGCGGTCTGCACCCTCAGCCGTGACGGGTCGATGAACCTGTCGAAGCAGCGGCTGCTTGACCGCGGCTGCCAACTGAGCCAGGTGTTGAGCCGGCACGGCGGGTCCGCTGGTCCGCTGATCTATTGGCCCATGGGTTCACCAGTCCTCTGGTTCGCTGGTCCGCTGGTCCGCTGTTCCGCTGTTCCGCTGGTCCGCTGGGCCACTGGTCCGCTGATAGATTGGTCCCCTGGTCCTCTGGTTCGCTGGTCTGCTGGTCCGCTGGTCCGCTGGCCCACTGGTCCGCCGATCCAGTGGTCTTCTGATCCACTGGTTCACTGTTCCACTATTCCACCGGTCCGCTGGTCCGCCGGTCCGCTGGTCGACAGGCCTGCTGGACCTCTGGTCCGCTGGTCCGCCGGTCCGGCGGTCCTCTGATCCGCTGGTGTCCCGCAGCAGAGGGACGCCGCGGTCACCCGGGCTGTCGTCCATGCCCTTGGGGAAATAAGCCGGATGATGTCTTGTGTTGCTACATGCATAGCGCGCTTTGTGTCGGTGAACACCGCTCTGGACGGCGATTAAGGTTGTGGTTGTTGTGTGTGTCTGTTTTCATCACTTTGGCCTTTGTTCACCGTGTACGATTTTTAACGGATGACGCTTTGACCGCGGTATGTCCGGCGGGTGACAATGTGCTGGCCGGGGATGGCACTGCAAAGGGCTTCACGAATTGTTTTGACTCTGAGGTTAGGAGAACTGCTTCAGTGGCGGACGCTTGGCTGACCCCGACCTGCCGTGCCGACAGGAGGGCGAGTCGGACGACTCGCCCGAGCTCGAGTCACCGGACTCGGCGATCGGCGAGGCACGAGAGCGGCCACCGCTGGCCTCCAGAGAAAGTCAGTCGTTGCCGGGCACCTCCGGCGCCGCTGGGCGATAGCGCGACGTTTATGGCGCTTTGATATTGCCGCGACCGCTTCTTTTTGTGTGCACCACTTTGCCACTTTGGGTGCGCCGCCCGCCAATAGCGCCTGCCGGACAAATTTGCTCATGGCAAATCTGATAGCATAATGGGCCCACACGTGGGTGATAAGGTTGCTCGGACCGATTCAGGCCCGGGTTCTGCGGCGGAGTTTCGTGGTGGACTCTGTAGGATCAAGGAGGCAGGGACGTGGGGAAGGGGTGGGGGGAGGGGGTCACGTTTCTTGAGGGCCTAACATTTACCGAAGGTAATGTGTAGAGGCCAATTGTCGTGTCAAGAGTTAGGTCACTCCCGTCTTTTGGCGTGCTTCACGTTTCCCCTCGTATGACTGACCCGTGGCCCTTCTGGCACCTACACACCGACTCGCTTGCGTTCCCTCACCGTTTGTCTTAATTTGCGTCATGTCTCTCTGGCGTCTCCCTTACCCTCTTGCCGCCTCTTTCTCCCCGCCGTCCTTGCCCTAGTTTCGTCCCCGCCCTCTCTCCATTCGCCTCATTCTCCTTGCCTTCGCACCCGCCCTTCCCACCCCTTCCCTCGTCACCCTCCACCATCGTCCGTGGCGGTGCCAGGCCGGTCAGCTGACAGCGAGTCCGCCCGCCGCCAGAGCTGGAGGCCATGACGTCGGCCGAACTGAACGAGATGTACCTCGACCTGGAGCTCATGATCAAGGATTACTCGGAGGTGCTCATCAACGAGCTGGCCTTCCGTGACGAGCTCGAGTACGAGAAGGAGCTCAAGGTGAGCGTGGACCTTGCTTGGTGGGCGGGGATCGTGCCTGGTGAGCGGGGATCATGCCTGGTGAGCGGCGATCGTGTCTGGTGAGCGGGGATCATGCCTGGTGAGCGGCGATCGTGCCTGGTGGGCGGGGGTCGTGCCTGATCAGCGGCGGTCGTGCCTGGTGAGCGGGGATCGTGCCTGGTGAGCTGAGATCACGCCTGCTTAGCGGGGATCGTACCTGGTGGACGGAGATCGTGCCTGGTGAGCGGCGATCATGCCTGGTGAGCTGAGATCATGCCTGCTTAGCGGGGATCGTACCTGGTGGACGGAGATCGTGCCTGGTGAGCGGCGATCGTGCCTGGTGAGTGACGATCGTGCCTGGTGAGCGGGGATCATGCCTGGTGAGCGAGGATCGTGCCTGATGAGCGGCGACCATGCCTGGTGAGCGGGGATTGGGCCTGGTGAGCGGAGATCGTGCCTGGTGAGCGGTGATCATGCCTGGTGAGCGGGGATTGGGCCTGGTGAGCGGCGATCATGCCTGGTGAGCGAGGATCATGCCTGGTGAGCTGAGATCATGCCTGCTTAGCGGGGATCGTGCCTGGTGAGCAGAGGTCGTCAGTTTTCCTTGTGGGCAGTGGCCGGGTTGGACTTGTCGTGGTATAGCCCAGCCGATGACGGCTGTTGCCATGAGAAGCTGAGTTAAGTGTTTGAGAGATTGTCAGGTACCTGCCTCACTGTATCTGCTGGCTGCTCGAGACGCATTGGGCACGTAAACCGGATTGTAATGTTCTGTTGGTCGTTTCAGAATCAGTTCATATCTCTCCTCCTGACAATTCAGAACAAGCGGAGACAGTACAACGTGGAGAAAAAGAAGAAAAACAAGAATGGGGTTACTCTGGATGCTAAAGTACGTGACAGTTTGACATAGAGGACTGCCGCTGGACGTTTTGCGCAGAGTCGGGTGTCTCCAGCCAGTGTTGGACATTTTGGAGACATCAGCGGACATCTCACGCAGTTGATTTAGTGTCTGCTGGTGTTTGGTCTTTACGTCGGCATTTGAATAAGACCACAATCTCCAACAGTAGTGAGATTTGCGATGCGCCTTTAATGAGGTGCCGTCTGTCTCACTCCCCTTGTCTATGTGTTTTTGTGTTTTGCATTTTTTAAATTTTTTCTACTTTGCCTTTTGCGAGACGTGAGTGTCGTTCTCCAGAGGCGTGTTATGCGTCATGCCTTTTCGAGAATCGGAGGTTTGTTAAAAATGGGGCGTTATTTGACCCTGCTGATGTATGTTTCAGTACCTGACTACGGTCATACCGTACAGCGTGGGTACCCGATGCCCCGACAACGCCACGCTTCAGATACTCATCAAAAGTAAGCCTGGCGGCACCACCTGACCCGCTAACTCGTCCGCGTGGGTTGGCCTGGCACCTGTGCTGCGTTGCATCAGTTGGGCAGACACCTGTGAACACTGACCGCGCCGGCATCGGCTCTGGCGAGGCGTGTGGCGGCCAGGGACAAAACAAGTCGCCTGACTGACGAGCAAGAGTAATTGTGATGGGATAGCAAGCCTGGCCCGGGCTGGTGTCTCGGGAGACAGTGTCGGGGGACGCAGCACTGGCAGCGCCAAAGTCCTTTTTCCTTTTTTCCCCTTTTTGAAAGGTTGGAGGACATTATGTGGAGGCCGCCTGGTGTTAGGTATCTGGGGTCGGAGCCAATCCTGTGCTGGATTAGATCCTTTTTTACCTACGTCGTTGTTTAGGACTCCTTGAATTGTCCGGCATTGTTGGTTCAGTTTTCTTAGTCGTTCGAGTAAATGTCCCGAATTTCACCACTTTAAGGCTCAATGTTTCAATGCTTGGGCATTACAGCCACCGCAGGTGGAGTGGACGTCCGCTGGCAGTGCTCCATGCGGCCTTGTTGACATCGTGGGCGATCTCCAAGCCAAGAGTTTTGCTTTTTGAGTCCGCGGATCTGTTTGTATTTCTCTAAATGTACAGGATAGCTCAGTGAGGGATAGAATCATCGTCTCTGTTTTTAGTGGATTGAAGATGTATTTGCTCACATGTCTAGTCTTTTAATTCATATATTTCATCGGCACACTTCACATATTTCCGTTTTGAAAAGCCCCCATGCACAGCTACTTCCATGTCCCACGCACATCAGCGATATCAATTTTCTTGTCAGCCGGTCTGCTTCGTATTATGGCGCTTGGGTCGGTTCCACGGGCCCGTTCGTGATGTCCGACAAAAAGTCTCCGACGATCTTTTGTATCACGTCGACCCCGAGGTGTCTGCAACATGTTTCTGCCATTCGTGTGCGATGTGGGACAACTTGCCAAGGTTTTCATCATATGCCTGACTGTTTTTAGCAATCATCCCGAAGAAGTTGTAAGATATGAGCCACCACACCATGAGATGTTTGGTTAATGCGTTGCCCCTTCGCCTATTTTGTTGTGTGCCTGGCGTAGAGGCTGGTACATGACCGCGGCCGGGGCCGATGGCACTCCGAGGGACAGAAACGGTGGGCAAACAGTCGGTCATGGTCTCCGTCTCCGTCAGTCGGTCATGGTCTCCGTCTCCGTCAGTCGGTCATGCGTCTCCGTCCTCAAGGCGGTGGCTGACGACACCTCGGATCGGCGGCTCACCTCCGATAGTCCCGCTAGAGGCCGCGGCTACTTCGATGCCCACCCTGCTGCCGTAGCGCACACCTCCCCCGGGACGTCCGGTCCGCGGTGTGTCTTCAGCGCGTCCCGTGCCGCGTGTGTGTCGGCCCCCCGCGCCGGGCCGCCCGTCACCGCGTGCGGCGCTGTTGCAGTCCTGCGGGCCATCGACGACGACAGTCCGACAGTGCCCACCCTGCTGACCGACTACATCCTCAAGGGTAGGTGCCTGGTGGCGGCGCTCGTGCGCCGGCTGCGCGCGGCCGTCGGCGCGCCGGCGCCCGCGCCGGTGCCCGCGCCGGCGCCGGCGCCCAGCGAGGACCCGGTCCCGGCCGCCGTCCCGCCGTCCCGCGCCGGCTGCCAGGGTGTGGTCTGAGCGCGCCGGCGTCCGCTGTCCTGACGCTCGCTCCTGTCCGCCGGCTTCCTGTCAGCCACGAGGTCCTGCTCCGGACGGACCGGGTCCTGCTGTCCTGACTGATGCATCCTGTCAGCCCAGCGGTTCTTATCCGAAGGGACCGGGTCTTGCTGTCCTGGCTGATGCCTCCTGTTTAGCGGCCTCCTGTTGGCCGCCCGGGTCTGCTCCGAACGGACCGGGTCCTGCTGTCCTGGCTGATGCCTCCTGTCCGCCGGCCTCCTGTCACCTGCCCGGGTCTGCTCCGAACTGATCAGCATCAGTTCCCACCGGTCCGTATCCTTCCGCCAGTCGCCGTGGTCTACCGTGAACAGACTGGTCCGTACCCACCCGTCGTCCGCCCTCCGCCGTTGGCTGGCCCTCCTGTCGGTCGTCTGGACGCTCTTCCTCCGGTCCGGCGGGCTCCACGCACCTGCATCAGCGGTGTGTCTCCCCCTCCCCCGTCCCCCGTTCCCCGGCCTCCCTCGCAGTCAGACGAGTCCCACCACCCTCGCGGGTGGAGGCTGCTGAAGCTCCCGGGTATCGTGAGAAACTGTGCTTAGCTGCGGCTTTGTGGAGGAAGGCTATAAAGCGTCGTTCTTGCGTGCTTGTGAGCTGTTTTGTTTGGACATATCTTCTGGTTAGTCGTGCTGGTAACGGCTTGCGATATTAAACAAGATGATAGATGTGCTTGTATGAAGTATTGTTCAAACACATTTCGAGACTGTGTTTCTTCTGCTCGTGTCACCGCAGAATTCGTCACGCATGATTGGCTTTGTCTCGTCATGCGATGTAGCCTCACTCATCCTGGTCCATCTCCACCGCTCTCTCCGACGTCCTGGGTGATCCCGACGCTCTCGTGATCGCATGTCCGCCGGCCGGCCTGTGTCACGCGCCAGCGCTGGCTGATGGAGATGCGCCGCCGGTCACGCCAGGTCCCACTCTCCTCCGCCGCCGCCGCCGCCTCCGCCTCCCCTTCGCTGCCTCGCTGGGTCAGGGCCGAGGCCCTGCCGCTGTGTCAGGCCGCGCGGACGCCGTGCTGACGCGCGCGCGCGCTGCGGCCTCCCCGCTGAGCTCCTCCTGTGTCCGCCGGCAGTGCTCTGTCCCACATAGAGCGGACGCCACGGCCCGCGGCGGAATCGGCGCACTGAGACCCGGCCCGATCGACGCGCCATCTATTTTTGTGCGTGTGTGTGCTTGTGTGACGTCACGCCGCACCGGCGCTGACGTCGCCGGCGGGAGGGCGAAGAGGGATGCCGCGCGGACAGCGCTTGCTTGGGCCTGTGCAATAGTCAGCTTGCGTCGCGCCGACTCGCTGACGGGTGGTAGTAGTTGCCGATCTGACCACGTGGCGGCGCCACTGGATGGTAGCGTATGCGTCGGCGGACGGCGCCTCACGGCTCTGGCTTTAGCCACGTCACAAACCCAGGCATTTGTCTCTTGCATGCGCGAAATGGCTGAATGCTGTCTCTCTATCGGGAGCTGTGAAATCTCACGATATTCTACTTGTAGCTTATTTATTTGTAGGTGGATAGAACAATTTACGTATAGGACCTTAGAGCTTTGTAAACCGCTGCCCGATCGCCTGTGATGCGAGTGCGTTGCTGTTCGGTTCGTGTTAGCGGTAGATTTAACGGTCCGTTTCGGATAAGATAACGACGACCGGTTCTGCGATTCGGTTTCTGTGATCATTCGTCTGCTGTGTGTCGGCGCCGGGTGTGATACCAAAGAGATTCACCGGGAAGAGCGCCCGGCATACTCGCTTGTGTGGGCGGCGTGGCGCGGCCGTCCGTCGCCGCAGCTCGAGGAAGTGTACCGCTGCGGGCGTCGGGAGATTTCGGTAGGCTATAGCCGCACAAACCGCTCCGCGTCGCCGCCCGGGCCCGAGCGCGCCCGGCGGTCGCTGGGCGCGGGTCCCCACTTAGGTGCGCGCCGCGGGAACGCGCGTCGCGACCTCTCGGGGCGTCCGCCGCGGGTCGCGAGCGGGTCAGGTCGGCCCGGCCGCCCTCGGCGCACGACAGGTGTCACGCGGCGGCTGTCGCTCTGCAGCCGGACGGCGTGGGGAGGCCCAGGCGGGCTCGGGCCGGCCAGGCGCCCGCGGAGGCCGCCGCAGCCGCGATGTTTGCCGTCAATCGGACGGCTCGGTGTCGACGGCGTCTCGCGCGCCGCCGGGTTCGCCGCTGTCCGTGTGCTGCGTCACACAGGGCAGTCGGTACTCGCCCGTGCTGTCGCCTGTAACACGACCACCGCTGGCAAATACACTCCCCGCTTCAGAGACGCGTGTGGTGGTGTGGGCGCCCGGCCACCGTGAGGGGAGCGAGGCGCGCTGCCCCAGCCAGCCGGAGGAGTCCGCAGGCCTGGCTCTCTACCGCCGGCCGGAGGGGCGGCGCCGTCGTCCCTCCGTCCCGCGCTGACGGGGAATTTGGTGGTGCAGCCGCCGGGCGCAGGGCCTCGGGGGTGGCTCAGTCGGCATGTATGTGTCACGTGTGTGTGTGTGTGTGTGTGTGTGTGTGTGTGTGTTGTGTGTGTGTGTGTGTGTGGTGTGTGTGTGTGTGTTGTGGTGTGTGTGTGCGTGTTGTGGTGTGGTGTGTGTGTCGTGGTGCTGTGTGTGCGTGCGTGCGTGGTTGTGTGTGTGGTGGTGTGTGTGTGCGTGCGTGCGTGCGTGCGTGTGTGTGTGTGTGTGTGTGTGTGTGTGTGGTGGTGTGGTGTGTGTGTGGTGTGTGTAACGAGGAGACGGCGCTCGCCGGCTGACGAGGACATCGACGCTGGCGAGGCATCGGAGCGGTGCGGCGACGGCGACCGGCGCACCCGCGAGCCTCCTGCACCGCCCTCGCGCTAGAGAGGCACCGCGGTAGCTGAGGGAGGACAGAGCCCGGGCAGGGCGTGCTGGAGCGCCGGGGTCGGCGGCGACTCTTCCGCCCGCGCCCGGCCTGCGGTTTAGGCTCCTCTCGGGGAAATCCGTCCGTCTGGCGGGACGCGCCAGCTGTCTGCAGCGCTGGTGCTGGCCGAGACGCCGGAAGGGATTCATTCCGGGTGTACGGGCTGGCCGTCAACCCTGACACACATGAATGAGTGTTACTTTTTATGTAGTTGTTCAGTGCATTAGTGAGGAACATTATTCACATAGATAAGACAGTGGTATTAGCCTTATTCCTCGGAAAAACCAGGAGAATGCAGATGTGGTTAGGTGGATATTTCGACAATATGCCTTTATCGAAACAATAGTAGAAGTGAAGTGAAGTGAAGAAGGACTTCTGCTGTTGTTTCGATAAGGACATGTTGCCGAAATATCAAACTATGTCTGCATTCTCCTGGTTTTTTCCGAGGAATAAAGCTAATGCTGCTGTCTTATCTAGGTGCCACTTTTTCCGTAGTTGATGCGCTTCGGAGCTACTCATCGCGCTGGCTACGGAAGTAAGGGATTATAACTGCACTACTGGTTTGTTCGGAGTCGAGGTGGCTTGCCCCGCAGTTGGGGAGGCATGCAGGGATTCCGGTTTGCTTGTTTGCATTCACCGCCACGGTCTTACCGATCGGTTTTCTCCACATGCTGGGAAGCCAAAGTCCCCTCCCCCCCCCCCCTCACCCCGTAGTGCAGTATCAGTTTCTCACGGCCACCGACGTACGGGGCCTGTGGGGGTGCTCCTTTGTATCGAGTCCATGATCCAGACCAAACGTCTGTAAATGACGCTCCGTCTCCATGAATATAAGTGTGGTGTTAGCGTACGAGTACGCATCACATGCTTTGTTGTACTGTTCGTCCTAACCGTCTTATCTCGTGAACTGGAAAGACCAGCGGAAGGTGGCGCGCTCGACGTCCAGAAGTCCCATGACAAACCACAGGAAGCCCCACCGTGCGTCCTTCGCAGCCTCGCGGTACTGTGCCTGAGCGCCGTCCCGCAAAGCGAAACCACCCCGCTCGAGGCCGGACTGGTACCCGGGCCCTCCGTCGGATGCGATGGCCACGCACGTGCTTCCCCGCCCCCCGGCTCGTCCGACAGAGCAGACACCCGGGCGAGGCGGAGCGGACACCCAGGCGAGACGGAGCAGACACCCGGGCCACGTTCCTTATTGGCAAAGTACCTACTTGAGTTACTACCTATGACGACGCGAGCAACCACGTCATACGTAAGCAATTATTCTCCAAGCCACGGGAGCTGTTGTGACGCACTTACCTTTAACGTCATAGGCTGCAACTTGTAGACAGCTGTTGGCAATGGGGAACGCGGCCCCGGGCGGGACGTCCCGGTAGCACGGTGGCGTCCCAGTAGCACGTCCCAGTAGCACGGTAGCGTCCCGGTAGTACGGAAGCCACAGAAGCGTCCCGGTGTCATCAGCCGGCGGCGGCGCTCGTGCAGCGTGTATCGCGGCGGTCCTTCCGACCGCAGACAGGAAGCGGAGCTGGGACGGTCGCGTGCTGCGCCGGCGACGGCTCCCAGTCGGCGCACGCACAGGCCGCTGGTGACCGGGTCAGCGCCGCTCAGGAGGCTCGCGATGGAGTCGGCACAGACAGACCCGCCGCGCCCTGCCCGCAAGATATCTAGCCCGGTTACGTGTTTGGCGGTTGGTAGTTACGTGACCGTGGCGGTGGTTGTCGTCGTCATTGTCCTTTGTGGTGAGTGAGCGATCAGATTTTTACAAACTCCGCTGTTTGCTATTTTTGGAGTCGCCAAAATGTGTCGTTTGAGTCTATATGTGGGCTTAACCTGGAAAGTTAGAAACGTTGTTTGATGTCGAGCCTTGCTGAGAATTGAGAGTCTAGGGAGCTGCTAAGGGTCATGAGCGAAAGGCTATTGGGGATCTAAGGCGGACAGGCTGTCTGAAATGTACGAGGAAGCTATCTAGGTCCGTGAACGATGGAGCTGTCTAAATCCATGAACGATGGAGCCATCTAGATCCGTGGACGAGGGGACTGCAGAGAATCGCGGCCAACAGGGCTGCCTGTAATCATGAACGGGAAAGCTGGTACGAAACAGGGACATGTGATGCGTCGAAAACCAAGATCGTGCCAGCTTCACACCGTGTTGACCTGGTGCTGCAGTGTACGCGCTGGGTGAGCGGGCGGAGACGGACCGGCCGGACGCTCGCGACACCGCGGTCCGTATGGCACTGATGGCTCGGGTGCTGCTCGTCCGTCGGGCCCCTGTCCGGACGGCAGTCCGCGGCTGCGCGCGGGGGCTGTCGACCAGCAGGTGAGGATGTGCTGTCGGTCGTGGTCATCTGTGTTGGTCGCTCCTAACCCAGCGCACGAGGTGAAGGCGTGCAGCGATCGTGCCACCCGGTGGGCTTTCCGAGCAGCTATGACGGTACTGGTGAGATATTTGTGATTGTTTGCAGTGTGAGATAACTGTAGGCGGAGTGTGGGCGGACGATGGCAATGTGCCGGTCTGCGGCCTTGTGGCGTTTTCAAGGTGACCTGTCTTTGTTTGAGGCGCTTATTCGGGTGATCCTCCAGCGCGTACATTCTGCCCGCGCGTGCATGCCGGACTGTTGACTTAGTGGGCCCACACTTATGGCTAGTGAGAGACCTGCGTGCGACGGTTCTCTAAGCAAGCGGGCCGTAAGCAAAGGTCGTGACCTGTCCAGGAGCCGCGTGGCGCGCCTTACTCGTAATGTGGCCTATCTAACCGCTGTTCGTTGCAGCGTGTAGCAGTGTCTGCCTTTTATTAGCGCGTTAAGGTTTATTTTCAGTTTCCCTGACGGCACGCCGGCCACCAGTGCCACTGGCTTTTCTCTTAATCTGATGCCATGGCGATGGGCCGAACATTTATTTTAAGTGAGGCAACTTCAGCGCCGTATCAGATGCATACCTCGAACCTGGTAAATCCGTGGACGCCGAAGCCGACGGCGCACCCCGTCATCAGCAGGACACGGCGCATCCCCGTCATCAGCAGGATATGGCGCATTCACGCCATCAGCAGAACATGGCGCATTCCCGTCATCAGCAGAACATGGCGCATTCCCGTCATCAGCAGGACATGGCGCATTCCCGTCATAGCAGATATGGCGCGCATCCCAGTCATCAGCAGAACATGGCGCATTCACGCCATCAGCAGAACATGGCGTATTCCCGTCATCAGCAGGACATGGCGCAACCACGTGCAATCAGCAGGACGAGGCGCTTTACACCATCAGGGGATATGGCGCATCCCCGTCATTAGCAGGGACATGGCGCACCCCCGTCATCAGCAGGACATGAGAATCAACAAAAACGCTGCGCTTGTACCGCCCTAGCTGGGTTGGGTGCACTCGGCGTCTGCTTACGCCCGCCAGCCGTGCGCGAAAATGCTCAACCCGTGGGTACAACACGCTGCAGACAATGTCAAGGGTGATCTCACATGCGAAGCCGTGGGTGTTTTCACCAGTCTGTGGTTGCTATGTTGTCGGTACGTCATCGTATGTTTCTCGTGAAATATGTCGGAAATTGTCAGTTAATTGTGTTTGTTTCATCTTAACCCGTTGTAAATACACGTATTCACGCAAGTGTGGGTGCCTATGTCCTCGAGTTTCAGCAAGTCTCTGTGGCGTATGAATGAAACAGGTCGATCTTTCGCTTGAGTCAACGCTTTTCGGAGCTGTTGTTTTTACACCGTGTTTCGGCCCAGTACAACACTGCCGTCCACAGGCAA